CTCAAGTTTGTAAAAGTTCCCATGTCCCCTGTTCCCAGCTGAGAAACCAGTGGGAAGGGCAGGAGTGTGCCCCAGCCAGGCCCCCTCCTGCCAGCTTCCCCAGGCCAGGCCTGGCTGCATGGTGCTAGTGGCAAGGCAGTCAGTATTGACCCCTCACCCCACCCCACCGGTGCTCCAGAGTCTCGGGTTTCCCTTTAAGTCTAAGGAGAGGAGAAGCCTGGGTGTGCTTGTCTTTGTGTTTGCTGCCATGTGGTGGTAGACTTCTAGACTTCGCCTGTCAGTATTGCCTGTCTCTTTCACACTTCATCCCATTCTTGCTCTCACGTTTCCCTGAAATAAAGTCTCCTGGCCCCGGTATATGGGCTGGGCAGATACCACAGCATACAAGTCTCGTCTCTCTTCCTTTCCTGTGTGTTCTTCAGTTCCAGGGGAAAAATGGGGCCTGAAGTAAGGGAAGCCTAAAGCCAGGGGACAGGAGTTCCCCCTGCCTCAGGAGGTGGCTTCTGAGATCCCACACTTTCTTTCACCTACTAAGGCCACTGAGCTCTTGGGAGAGCCTTAATCTGCAAGCAGATCTGTCTATCTGCCATAAATGAACCCGAACCCTTGGCCTGCCTCACATGGGTGGCCAGGCTTGGTCTCCCAGAGGCGAGTCTGCCCTGGGGTAGTACATTCCAGAGATCTGTCCCTCCTGTCCACCAGAAATAAAGGAGAGGAAGGGGAAGCATTCTCCTAGGAGATGAGCTGGTTTCAGGAAACCATAGCAGCAGGGGTCTGAAGTCCTAATTACAATTCCCAATCTATGTTGTGGCTTTGGAAAAGCCCTCTTGTTCCAGCCTGCCCGGTGCCCCTGTCCTTCCTCCCCATTGTCCCTCCTGCTCTTCCCCACTTTCAGACAAGCCCAAACAGCTGTGGCAGTTGAAATACTTTAGACCCTACAGCATTTTCAGCCTTAACCCTTCCTCTGCTGTTCCACTCCCCTGTAGCTCGGCTTACCGAGTGAATCCCAGACTTGCCCAACAGGAGGAAGGATGCTTGCCTACTTCTCATCCCAATCAACCCCCAAGCAGTCCTGACTTCAAGAAGTGGCACTGAGCCCAGCAAGACTTCATTTTCAGGAGAGTGGTGTGAACAGGGATGGGAAGAGGTGACCATTTGATTCCATGTGTGTCTTGAGCTGCACACCACTTAAATAGTCAAGTGTCATTGAGTCAGTTCCGACTCATAGCCCCCCTGCATAGGGTTTCCAAGGAGTGGCTGGTGAGTTTGAACCGCCAACCTTGTGGTTCAAACTGACCCTGTGATCCAGTGTGTATCCTACAGCGCCACACCAGGACTCCACATCACTAATCAGACAGTATTTACAGGCATGTCTAAAGACAACTAAACTGATACCCTAAAAGGGCCTTTTAATCAAGGTAAATTGAATTTGTGAGTGATTTGGATTTTACACCTTTCCATAAAGCCAGTGCTGTATTTACACAATGTGAGTCCAGTTAAAATGGCACCCGGTACAGGGCCTTGTGGGCTAGTTTCAGTGACGTGGGGCCATACACTTCAGGCCCCTGCACTGCTCTCCTACAAAGGATGGCTGGGCCGGTTCTTATCAGAAGTCTGACGCTGGTCCCAGGTAAATATCCTCACAGACTCAGGCCCATTGGGACCTGACTTGCATAAAGGTATTACAGCATTTCCTGCTGTTGTGTTTTACTCAGGCACAAAGCTTGGTTTGGACCTCTGGATGCAGGCAGGGTTCCTGCGAGGCTGTGTGTCTGTCAGCAGGGGGAGAAACCAGGCAGTGGTAAAGATGGGCCACTCAGGTTAGCTGCTAGGTCAGCTCTGAGCCCAACACACAGGAGCAGGTGCACACAGATAATCTGGACTCCCACTAACCCCCAGGCAGAAAGGATCTGGTCATGGGAAAGACAACAGCTCCAAGAACCTAGTGTAGCAGCTCTTCACAGCTGCGAGGTGGCATAGGGACAGACCTGAGAGGGAGGCTAGGGCAGGCTTCCCTTTGACAACACTTCACATTCTCCTAGTGGTTACCAGCAAAGTCTCTCATCTGGCTGACCTTACGGGGTCAGCTCTCTCGCCCCCTAGTGGGAGCTAGAGGAGGTGACCCCACCCACTCTTGGGAGAAGAGAAGCCACACTTCCTGCTTTAAGTGGCCAAACCCCCTCTAGTTAGTTGTTACATCTGAGCAGAAACTAGAAGGAAAAGAAACTGCACCAGCGCCAGCCTGGTGGTCGGTTACCCTCTTGGTATCCAGCCTAAAGCTGCCTCTGAGCACCCCTGTATAGGGCCACCCATGTTTTGTGAAGTGTGGGATGGGGTGTGGTCACAGTGCTGTGGTCTATTCAGAGTTCTTTGAAAACTGCTCAGGAAAAGGCTGTACAAACTTTTAGTGACCGAGGCAAAGAGGGGAAATTTCCCCCCTGTCTCAGGGCTCTGGGGATACTCCTCAAAGGTGGGTGGTGGTGGTGGTGGTTTAATCATTCTCAGCCCCTGGGCCCAATCACCCAGCCTGACTGGGGAGACCTATGGATCCTCAATACCAATCAATAACACTTTGGAGTTCTTAGCGCCCCAGTCTTGCCAAAGCCCAAGCACAAGTTCAGATCTGAAAAGATTTTGACTTTAATATCCATTTTACCAAAGGATGTGAACTTACCCACCGTCACCAACCAACCAGGCCCCTAGGGCAAGTTGTAACCCTACTGCTTCATGGTTTCCATGGAATCAGTGGATCCCAACTCAGGTGGGTCAACAGAAGCACCCAGGTGGTTGTCAATAATCCAGGTTCCCTAAGACTGACTCAGAGGTCTGCGGTGGGGTCTGGGAGTGTGTTTCCAACTAAGACGAGCTCCCGTGTCTGCTTTCCGGGCTTCCCTGGGCCATGCAGGCCTGCCTGAGCGTGCTGCAGGGGAGCTAGAGGCGGCCGCAGAAGGAAGAGAAATCATTCCAGGAACAGATGGCCGGCAGCTCAGCCCCAAATGCAGAGATCACCCAAAATAGATGCTCGGCGGGAGGCATCTGCCTCATGCAGCTGCCTCAGCTCTGCGTGCAAACAGTCATGGCGACACACTTTTGGCGCAGACGCTCCTGAAATGCAGTGTGGGCTTGGGGTGGTGGGGACACGGGGGCAGCAGATGGACTAAGAACGAGAAAGTGAAGGGGTCATTCCTCCATAGCTTGGTGCGGCTGGCTAAGAGCACCATACCCCACATTCATCGGGACAGGAGGGTTCACTCTAGCACTGGCCCCCCAGGCCTGGAGCAATAGGCAGCCGAGGAAGGAAGGAGTGTGGGACGAACAGTGCAGAGCCATCTGCCTTGGTTACTGGAGGAAAATTAGAACAAATGTCTCTGGTCTAGAATTTAGGGCCTGAGACAGCTCCCCAAGCCCCCCAGGATCAAAAGCCTCCCATTCTTTCTATTCCGCCCACCTCACTTTCCAGCCCCCCTCCCCTGCCACACACACACTCTTCAAGATCTTAATAAATGACCAACAATAGGGAAAAACAGGTAAACCTTTATTTGGAAAAAGAGAGTTTAAATGACTATTTAAAACCCCCATTTCATTTCCAAAACAAAAACAAGTAAGAAAACAAGGGGGGAAAAAAACCTGTCAATCTCCTGCCCTCTGCCCTCCTGAGCTGCCTTTAACCTGTTATTTCCTGGCAGGATGGACAGAGTGAGGGGTCCCAGTCTCACTATCTTGAGACCTCCTCAGAGGCACCTAGAGGAGACACCAACAGTGGGAAGGGTCAGGGATGGGCAGACAGGCCTGGGGCTCAGACAGGCACATGCCCAGTACCCAAGAAACAAGATTTCAACGTGTACACACATAGATAACGCCCCAGAGCCCAGGCACAGAAAGCTTAGTTGTGATGAATGCAGCTGCAGACTACAGGCTGGATCTTTGGCTTTCAGAAAATGGGAAGTGCATTCACCTCGGGAACTGCCCCTAAGCCAAGCCTCTCGGCCCTTCTCTTCAGTTCCATTCTAGAGGCCAAATGGGCAACAGTGACTCAAACCTGCGAGGCCAACGCTGCTCTGAATCCAGGGGATGCCTGGAAGAACAGGCCCAGGCCACACCCCTGCAATACCAACGCAAACCAGCAGGTGGTGCAGTGTGAGCTAAGGAGCCTCCTCCAAAAGCCATGAGCCGCTGAAGCCTTGCTGGCCGGAGCACATCCTCAAGCACATCCTCAAGCACCACCCCTCTAAATTCTTGGACCAGCTTTACCCCAGATCACCTTTGTGCTAAGAAGGTTTGGCCTAAGCTACAGACCAGGTTTTTCTAGGGAGAAAATGAAAGGGATTAGAGGGGCGGAACCAGAAAGTAAAAGGTGGGGAAGGAAAAGAATAGAGACCTGTTTCTTGGGTGTACAGAGGCAAGAGGAGAGAGCAAGTCCCTTTCGTCGTGTCAGGAGAGGCAGCTGCAGAGCCCACCTGCTCTCCTCTGGCTCTCCTGCCCTTGCCCCAGCTCTGACAGCTGCGGGGAGCAGTGGGACAAGTTTCCTGGAGGCTCCTCCTCCATGACAAGTCTTCAACCTCAAACCACCATTCCAGCCCAACAAACCCCACACTAGGTCAAACCGGGCCATCCTCAGGTCCTGCTGGGGAGAGGGATGTGCTCTAGAGAATGCACGCCAGGTCTGAGGGCTCTGGACCAGAGGCCCAGAGCTAACTGGGGAGGTGGTACATCCCTGGATCTCTGCTCCAGGCTGTGGGATTATGCCCTGGTTGGCATGATGCATGCCTATGGAAACACAGGCTTGAGAGAGAGAGAATGGTCAACGCCCTTGCTGCTGCCTGGCAGCATGTACTAGAGTTCCAGCCCATCACCTGTCTCTGGGACCACAGCCCAGTGTGAAATAGGACTGGTCAGAGGCAGCCATGGCTGGACACAGAGCACCTCCACCCCAAGACAACACATGCACCACACACAGCTCACAAGTGCATGCTGGGCAAGAGAGCTGGGCCCAGCAATCATGAAGGCAGGGAGAAGTTCGGGTCAGAAGGTCCCAAGAAACGGCCTGAAAGCAAACAACCAATGAGATCAATAGCTCCCGCAACCCTGGTAATTAAAAATCAAGGGGGAGCGCTGGATACATGGAAGGAAGGGCAAACCCCCCTTCTGCCTCTCCCAGGGCCACTGAGTATGTGGCACAGGATTAGGAAGAGGCTGGGTGGGGCAGAGACCACCTGGGAGAAATCTAACCATGGAGCAGTAGGGAACAAAGGGGAGGGGAGGGGACTTCAGTTTCTTGGATCTAAGTTTCCAGAAGCATGGGATATTTCCACAGTCTCGATCCAGTGAGCTCTTCTGGAAGAGCAGCCCTCTTCCCCTGATAGCCCCATCATGGGGCGCTGACTTCCATCCCGAAGCTGGCCAGTAAGCAGAGGTGGTCTGAAGAGCAGAAGGGGTTGGGTAAGCCATTGGCAGCCCAGAGAATCTCTTCAGAGAGGAGGGAGAGGCGGCCCAGGAGCTTGAGGGTTCCATCTCGGTAAAGCCTGCGATCTGCGACACAAAGTGGAGTCCAGTGGGTAGAGATGCTACAGTACAGGCACGCTGCCTGACGCTCACTGCCCCGCTCGCCCTCACCTCCTCCTCTGCCTGAGGAGGCCTCCTTCTCTCAGAGATCCCCATGCCATTATCAGTGAGTGAAGCAAGGTGGGCTCAGGGGGCCTGTGACAAACTGGAAAGTCTTTGCCCAGGCCCAGTGTTACAAGACCTTCTGATTTTCCAGAAGAAGCTGGAAATCTAGATTTAAAAAAAAATAAACACCTCAACTTTAAATGCAGGCAATTAATTCACACATTAAAACAGAGTTCGATAAACAAAATAGGCATGGGGTTAGTGGATGGCAAGGCTCTGTGACTACTGCCCTGGGGTGAGGAGACAGGAAATAAGGTCGCTAACCTAACCAAGAGGAGCCCTGATGGTACTGCAGCTAAGCAGTCACTTGCTAACTGAAAGGTCAGTGTGGTTCAAACCCACCTTAGGAAAAAGCTGTGGCAGTCTACTTCAATAAGGATTACAGCCTTGAAACCCCATGGGGCAGCTCTCCTCTGTCCCACAGGGTCACTAGGGACAGAATCAACTCTGCTCCTGGACCCTCCACCCAAATTCCCAGGGACCCTCAGGGTCACCTCCAGGACCTGAAGATCCAACAGGCTTACCAGTCGTGTGCCCATTCTCGCAGGACTCAGCTGAGAAGAAGATGTAATCCACTGTGGTACCAACACCCAAGGGCATCGTGGTGACCTCTGGGCGGCCATGCTGGGGCAGGAAGTGGGTGTACACTGAGGTCAGGTGGAGGCAATGCTGGATGGTGCCAACAGTCCTACAGGGGTAGAGGAAGATGTCAGTCACTTTCTCTGTGGGCTTTTTGAAATTGTTTACGGGATGTTCCCAAATGCCTCCATCTCAGCACATTCACGAGAGGCAGAGATTCTCTGTTAGAAACAGACACCTTTAGGCCATCTCCCTGATCCTCCTCACTCTCCACCAGCTACCTGATGAAGGCTACTCAGCATGCTCTCCTGAGGGTTCCCCCCTGCACACCTGGGAACCACTCAGTCATCTTAGGTGTTGGGAGAAGAGGGCGCTCCCTAAAGTCAGCCTCAGGTAAGGCACCTAACAGGAAGTAGAGGGGAAACTAGAAGGAAGATTACCTGGGAAAGGCCGGCTCAGGCTCGGATGTGCCTTCCTCAGGGACGGACTCAGCCCAGCCAGCAGGCCGCTCTATAGAGGACCAAAGAGAAAAGGTTTTATTACCCACAGACTATGAAGCAGGGTCAGAGCCCTCACCTGGCTCCTTCTCAGACCCTTCTCTGGTTTGGTCCAGGAGGGGAAATAGAAAGGGAGAAGGGGAAGCAAGGAAGAAGGCAAAGAACCAAAGCCCAGAACTTCAGAAGGACAGACACAGAAGTCTCTGACAGACATGGTCTGCCTTGGCTCAGCACCAATCTTTTTAAAATTTAAATTGACTTCTTAGACTAGGTAATACAACCACAAAGTAAAGAAAATGGAAATACAGAGGAAAATATCAGTGAAAAGTCATCCTCTCACTCCTGTCCTCACGCCTCCCAACTCTCCCTTCTAGACACAACCAACGCTCCCAAATCCTGGAGATTTTCTATGACACATCTTAATATGTATGTTGTTTGTTGTGGTTAAGTGTCATCGAGTCAGTTCCAACACTGTACAGGGCTTCCAGGAACAGCTGGTGAGTTGGAACCACCGACCCTGAAGCTCAAACCGACCTTGTAGTCCAGTGCTGATCCTACAGCACCACACCAGGACTCACACATACACATATGCACATATATGTACACATGTACAAACATACAAACATACATACATATACTGTTGTTAGTTCCCACAGAGTTGATGGGGACACATGGTGACCTTACAAACAATCGAACGAAATGTAAGCGGGACTGTCACAGTAGTCAAAAAGATGGGCTCAAACAGGTCTCATCCCAGTTCTATTTTTACACACTTTCAAGGAGTTTAGTCTCAGAGTATGCAGGGGAGGGTGAGAATCCCCACTGAATAGTTTTCATCTTGTCTATATAGGATTGGTAAAAAGAGATGGGAATAAGATTCTTACGATTCAATAGTGAGTAGTTGTTATCACAATGAATTACAATTGCCTATACAGGTAGAAGTTTTGCAATATAAATGGGGGAATAGTTAATCTTACAGTCCAGAAACAGAGGACCCTAGGACCATCAAGAAGAGCACAAGCAGAATGTGGGACCCTATATAGAGAGGCAGCGACACCAGAGATGGAAGAAGAGATGAGGACACGGAGAGAGGGAGCAGCTGAGGATTCTAGACTCATAGAAAGAGAGGGACTGAGTGCTGGCGGCCAGGACACAGGCTTGCAGAATGTGCCCTTTGGTTGTTTAAATTATTATATATTCCTAAGTGTTTTTGTGTACGACCCCCACCCAAAGCCACCCACAAAGAAAAAAGGACAAACAGAGGGAATGGAAGCAAATCCTGTTGAATGATGATGCACGGAGGAGACTGTAATCACTGCAATAAAACAATGTTGTAAAGCCAATGTTCTTCCATGTAAACTATCACTCAGGTCACAATTGGAAAAAAAAAAAATCAATTGGCCACTTTCTCCCTCTGTTAACCATTCAAATAGTAATGGAATTGCAGTTTATTTAAAGGTTTAATGATATCCTTCTGGTCTGGTGCTTTTGAAGGAATGCACCTTCTTGAGTTGGATGCTTAATTAATTTATTGCCATCCTTTTTTATATAATTCTATGAATTTTCACTGAGCACTATTTTAGCTATCTCCCACAAATATACTGTTCGTCTAGCTATTCTGCAGTTTTCATTTAAAGTTCCTCTTTGATCCAGAAGTTGTTTATGTTCTCGATGATGTTGTCTTTTTTGTTTTCCATTTCCAGTTTCACCACATGTGCTATGAGAGAAAGCTGACGACACTCCATTTACTGTGTGCAATTTATTGAGGTTTTCTTTATGATCGAATTGTTGTTGTTGTTAAGTGCCATCGAGTCGGGTCCGACCCATAGCGACCCTGTACAGGGTTTCAGGTGGTCAATTCTTAGGAATTTTCTACAGCTACTTGAAAAACTGTATTCCTTCTGCTTTCAAGGTTCAGAGTTTGATAAAGGCAATGAGATTTAGCACACGTCTTCCACGACCCTTAACTTGTCTTTCACACACTTAATCTGTTACAGATTGAGTCTACCGCCATTTCCTACTACTCTGTTTTATCTTGTAGTTTTGCTATGTGGTTGCTGATGCTTTCTTATTTGAAATATAAACAATCCTGACACAAATAGCTTCATTTTGAGTTGCATCTCTGCTTTATCATTACAACATGCCAGAAACATCATAGTGGGATATTTATTGACAGTGGTTTCCATCACCACCCTCAGCACTCATTCTGACCATGCAGCACCTGATACAGACAGCACCATTCTGGCAGTTCCACAGGCTGCCCCACTAGGCCACATTAGCCAGAGCTCCAGCGCTCCCTCCACAAGAGCTGCAACATTATCCTGGGCCCATCAACATCGGTAGCAGCCAAGGGAGCAAGTTCTTCTGCAAACACTTGGGAAGAGGGTAATATGTTACATCATGCCTGGCCCACTGGCCACGTGGGATTCAGAACTTTTCTGCTTAGAAACTGAAGTAAGGATTTTCCTACTTAAAAAACCTTTGCTCTGTGGCCCTCTGGTCAGTTTATAAATAGAAATCATCTATTACCAAGAGTTTTTCCTATTTGGGCACAGGGTCTGCTCTCACCTGTCAAAAGTAGGACTTGAAGCTCCAGGGTTCAGTATGAACAGTGCTTATGAGAAAGAAAACATGGTGACCTTTTTTAGTGTCTTTGAGAAACAAAGAGTGGACAGAAGAAATCATTCGTGTTTGAAAATGTTAGCAAGAAGGGAATTTGAAATTGAGATTGCCTACTTGTGAACTCTGTTGCCACAGTGGGAGTTGGGAGGAAAGAATCACAGTGTTTTAATTATAATGCTCAGGTGATACCAAATGCTCTCTTGTGGCGCAGTGCCGGTTTGTGGAACATCAGACCGCCGCCTTCTGCACGCAGGTGCTTCTTGGTAAAGTCAATGTCAGAGTCAGGTTGGCGCATTACCATGTACACATGAGACTTATTAAACTGGAACTATGATTTGTTAGTACTGATGAGCAATCTTCTAGAAAAAAGAGCTCTCACATTATAGTCTCTTTGCAGGTTTTAACATTTAGGATTCTTTAAGACACTGACCAAAGTCCTGGTGTGGTGCTGTAGGATAAGCACTGGACTGCAGGTTGGCGGCTCAAACTCACCAGCCACTCCTCAGAAACCCTACACAGGGTAGCTATGAGTAAGAACCAACTCGGCAGCATGTAACAAGAAGAGACTGTACAATTCTGGGTAGGACTTCTGAACAAATTCAAGGACATGCGTATTTATCAAAATGTAATCTCTATTTTGGTAAGAATGCTATTATCTTGCAGTATTTTCAAAACTATATATGCTCATGTAGTGATTTTTGTTCTACTTACAAAATGGTTGTCATTATGTATTAAAGTTGCTAGGTTTAATTTTATTAAATTGAAATGTTTATTTGATGCTTCATTCAAGAACAGCACTGATAAATATATTTTTTAATAACCCTTTCTTAATGTGAAATTACCTATGTGGGATATAGTGACTGACTTTAAACTTTTACATAACCTTAGAACAGTAAAGCCATTGAAATGCTCACTCCTCTGTGCAAAATGCCAATTCAAATCAAATTCCTACATGAAAAAAAAGGAATTCAGAGCTCACCATCACTCTTTTTATTATATATACTGTTGTGTTATTAAGGGACATCGAGTCAGTTCCGACCCATAGCAACCCTGTATACGTTTCCAAGGAGCAGTTGGTGAGCTTGAACCACCGATCTTATGGTTCAAACTGACCTTGCAGTCCAGCGCATGAACCCGCAGCGCCACACCAGGACTCATAAATATATATATATATATTATGTATAGCAAATTTTATTTAGTTATTGCTTGGATGACTTAGTCATTCCTCTAATAATTTCTTTAAGAAATTAGTCGTTTTCATCAAGATAGGTTCGACTCACAGTGAGCTGAGTAATAACGGAACAATCCTGTGCTGTCTCCTCATGATAGTTGGTATGCTCCAGTCCAAAGTTGTGACCGTTTGTAGTGTTTCCCAACCAAGGGGGCTCACCTTCCAGCAGTATACTGGACACTATTCTGTGAAGAAAGGCTCATGAAACCTATATTCTTTCTATTTTTGCATGTTCAAAACCTTTTGTCTGTTTCCTTTATGCATGCATACTCATTTGGTTGGGCATAAAATTCTTGACCTATCCCTCTTTTCCTTGAGGACTTGCTCAAGAAAAATCTCCTCTTGAGTTGAATATTCATGTTAAGATGTCCACAACCAGATTAATATGAGATTATCTTGACTTTTACAAGTAACTTGAGGGGGAGGCAGGGCTTGATGGTGGCTATGGTGGAGGTGCAGTGAGGTTCGCTGTCAGCAATACCACAGAATACCAGGCAAAGCAGATTCAGGGCAAAGTCCCAAAACTCAGAATCACATAGATAGGAATACTTAAAAGGTGATTTTTTTTTTTCTTCGCTGTTGCTGTTTTGCTGTTTTATGCTCCCTCTTCTACCTTTGGGGGACTTTCTCTCCCTATATTACCCAAGAAGAGTCCGCAACTGCTGCCGCCATATGTTGTTGTTGTTAAGTGCCATCAAGTCGGTTCCGACCCATAGCTACCCTGTACAGGATTTCCGAGGCTGTAAATCTTCACGGGAGCAGAAAGCCTCATCTCTCTCCCGTGGAGCGGCTGGTAGTTTCAAACTGCTAACCTTAAGGTTCGCAACCCCATTTGTAACCAGTACGCTACCAGAGCTCCTTGCTGCCGTCATGTAGTCAAGCTATAATCACACTCTGTAAAACACCAAAATCCAGGTAAGAACCAATACCAACTGCCATATACCAGGGAGGCAGACAACACCTGTGAAAGTTACTCTGAGTTAAGCAATAAGAAGAGTGAAAAGGGAAGCCCACATCCTGATCACATCTACCTGGAAGCAATCAGAAAGCATAAAAAATAACAAAATACATACTCAATTAAGTATTAAGCCCACAGATAGACACTAAACATGTCCAAGAAGCAAAAGCAGATGACCATATCAGCACATGTCCAGAAACAAGATAAAGTGTCTGAGACAAATGACCTAGAGGTAGATCTGGACTCCATTCTAGAAGGTGGGCAGGCCTTGGAAATGCCTAAGAAGGAATTCAGAAATATTATTATAAAATGTTTCAAAACACTTTACAATGGAGTTGAGAAAAATAAGGAAAAAAATCAGGAAACACTACAGGAACAATAAAATAAGATAGAAACAGCTTTGGAAACTATTCAAAACCTACAGAAAGAGGTCCAAATGATCAATAATAGAATATCAGAAATAGACAATACCCTGAAAGGGTAAAGGAGCAGAACAGAAGAGATGGAAGGCAGAACCAAATCTCTCAATACCACTAAGACAGAAGAGCAAACAGAAAAAAAGGATAAAAAAAATATGAAGAAGGCCTAAGACTCATGTTGGACAACATGAAGAAGAATAACTTAATAATTATCGGCATTCCAGAACAAGAAGAACCACACAAGTCCACAGAGAAAATAGTTGAAGAACTGCTGGAAGAAAATTTCTCTAACATCCTGAAAAGTGAAAAGATAAACACTTTTCTTTTAGGAAACCAAGATTCAAAAGACAGCCAATCATCTTAATATTATTTCCCCCCTTTTCCCCATTCCAACCATGTCTCAATCCCTGTATCCCAGAGCCCTGTTGTTTGTTCCAAGGTTGTGCATACATCATTACTTACCTGTCCCACTTAGTCCATGCAAACCTGCCTAATTGTTCTCCCATCTGCTCTTTTTCTCGTAGCCCCCCCTTTTTTTTTTTGTAGTATTTTGCATAGATCCAAACTGGTTTCCTTTGGGCTACTTAGTTTTGAACTAGTTGAGGTTCTCCTACATCTGACATCGATACAAAGTTTATCTAAAGGGAGGACACATATGAGTATACATTCCAATTAACAAGAATCTTCCTTATGACACAGGATCATAAAGAAGTCCTTTTCATCTTTACTTTTCCGCAGCCAAAGGAGTTATGCAGCTCGAAGTGAGTATCACATCTCCTTCTGCCACTTGAGCAGATTGCTTAACACAACACGGTTGGAATCCCTGATCATTTCTTCCTCCACTACCTCCTAGGACCGAAGCAGGTTCAGAGAAGCTTCCATCATAATTTGTGCATCTGTTCTTGTAGATGAAACAAGAATTGTTTAGGCCTCACAGTGTACCCATCCATCACTCTGAGCCACCGACCTTTTGGTTAGCCCTACACTTACCCCACCACATTCCTAGGGCTCCTTATATACTATAAGCACACTAGTTATTAGCACCTTAAAGTTTGAAAAGGTAGTAACTGGCACAGGGTCTCTTTAGTGCACATCTGTACACATATATGACGAACTCAGTCAACCTTTCTCCTAACAATAATTATTACCAAAAGCTGAACTCAAAGAATTATATCCAGAAAAAAAACCTAGGAAAGCACATGGCTGATAATTATCAGGGGTTGAGGAGAAAAGAACACCAAGAAAATGGCTTAGACTCCATTACCTGGTTTAGTGTCTGTCACTCCTTCCATGAGAACTAGTCCTGTTGGTCGCTGACAAGCAATGTTGCAGAAGCGGAAATGTAAGAGGAAGTCTCGGCTATACTTGCGTCTCTCTGTCAACCAGGAAAAGCGTGAGAGAAAGAGGCACCATATGCTGGGACCTCCTTAGTACCAAGAAGCTTCTGGCACAGGGACACGGAGGAGGGCTCTGAAGACAAGGAGGTGTTCCAGTCGATACGAGTCAAAGTTGTATATTTCACTGAGTATGCATCAGGACAGTGAGAAAAACAAGGGACTGGCTCATTCAAGGGACTGACACTTTCTCTTGTCATTGAAGAGCCAGTTTTCTTTCAAAATGGGACTGTGGGCAGTCAACCAAGAATGTGGTGTGTGCTTACCTGATCTGTTGGGCTGACAGGAGGAGACATACTGACATGAATCAGTGATGCCCAAGGAGATAGGCCATAGTGGGGCCTGCAGCTTCCTCTGATAAAGCTGATGGGAGAAGTCTTCCTGCCCAGAAACCTACAAGGAAAGAGCAGGGTGGGAATGAGGAAACTAAGGTGGGAAAAGGAAATAAAAGCCCATGCTTCGGGACATGCAGACAAATAATACCCTCACACCATCACACTCTCTCTAAATTATACGTGATACAAGCAAGCCAGACAAGCTTCAGGTGAAGGCTACAAACTAAGGCACTAATGGAAACCACGATCTGTTCACTAGAAAGCACTGAAATGTCCATGGAACATGGATAAGGGCTAAGAGAGTGAGGTGTGTGAGCAGTCTAGGGGAGCAGACTGACAAACTTGTCCCCTCATGTTCACCTCAAAAAAGATGTACGCAATTCTCCAGAAGGGATAACAACTTTCAGGGCTTTCATTGGTAATGGGAAAGGGGTTCTCCTGATAATTAAGTCATCTGGGTCAAGATCTAGCATCGTAAACCGACTATGGGGACACCACAGGCTTAAACCAAATTGGAAATGCACCAAAGCACTTTACCGTATCTATGTCACCATCCTCGGTCAAAGCCAATGAGCAGCCTGGGAGTGGACAGAACGTAGTAGGGGAAACATTCGCCAACATCAGTCATCTGCATATCTCCAACGTGGATAGCAAAATTCCCTTTATTTCATTTAACAACAACAGATATTTGAATGCCAAGTGCAAGACACTAAGTGCTGGGAATAGAGTGGTGATAGACACAAACCCTGTCGTTAAGGGTATCTATTTTCAACATGTCATTTAAGTAAAACAGACCTGGAATTTGATGGCCATTTACTACCTTTGTGATTTTTAACACGCTCTCTTGGATTCAATAACTTCTACTATACACATAATATATACAACATACAATTACCAATCTTGATAATAACCATTACCATTAATAAGGAGCTCTGGTAGCGTAGTGGTTACAAGTTGACTTGCTAACCTCAAGGTCAGCAGTTCGAAACTACCAGACATTCCATGGGAGAAAGATGAGGCTTTATGCTCCCATAAAGATTTACACCAGCAGAAACCCTATGCAGGGTCACTATGAGTCAGAACCGACTCCACGGCACACCACCACCACCACCACCACGAGTAATAGACTGCTTACTCTGAACCAGGAATTGGAAAAGACTTTACATGCAGAGGGACACTAGGTCCCAGTATATGTATAGGTGAGGCAAATGCAACTTAAAGAAGTTAAGTAACTTACCCAAGAGGTAGAGCAGAGATTTATACTCAGGACTATCTGGCTTCAAAGTGAGTTCTATTAATCACTATGCCTAACAGTGTGTGTTACATGATAGGTATTTAGTGAAGACTTTTTGCCATTTCTTGAGTTCTTTGATGAGAACTCTTTTAGATGAGGACAGTGTCTGAGCACAGAGCAACACATCGCTGGCACTTCAGTGGCCTCATTACAATAAAAGCCCAATGTGCTCAACAAGAATCCAGGCACTGTGTGTCCTTGCCAAAAGTCAAGTAGTCAGTTGGATTGGTAAATCCAAACAGGAGAAAAACAGTCCAAAAGTGGCATATTAATTAAACTATCAGAGCAAGCTGAATGCCCATCAGCAGAGGTAAACATACAATGATAAAAGTGCATGTCTGTACTGTCACCCTTTAGCAGTTACAAGGAATGAAGACAGAGCCATATGCATTATTGAGTTTTAAAAAAATGAAACCTATAGTATGATGGGGCTTCCAAAAGTTTGTGGAAAAATTCCATGATCTCTTAATCCATTTTCCATGAACTTTTTGAAGCCCCCTCTTATATCAAGTTTTAAAAACACACAGAGAATTGATTAGCTGTTAGAAGCAACAAGAACATACTGTTTGCAGGGGTTATGCCCCCATAAATGTATGCTGCTAGTCCACTCCCTATTCTGGTGGTTCTAACCCCATTTGGGAATGGGTTCTGTTAACAAGGCCCTATCAGTGTAGGGTGTGTTTCAAGAAAATTACCTTTAAAATTACAAAAGAGCAAATTAGGCCAGCAAGCAGAGATGAGAAAAGATAGATGCCACACCAGATGAAGCTCACCGAGGAATCAGAGGCAAACAGAGCTAACAGAGAGGAAAGCTTCCTCTAGAGCAACGCTCTGAACTGTGACTCCAAGCCTCCTAAACTGTGAGAAAATACATCCCTGTCCTTTCTGTTCTTTCTGTGATAGCGGCCCCAGACAACTAAGACACAAGGCAAGGGGCAAGACTGCCTGCCCTGGAGCAAATTACTTAACTTCTCTGAGCCTTCGTTTCCACAGGTCTACAATGGAAGCAATGATGGAAACGGTGAGAATTCAATGAGTAAATACATGTAAGTGCTTCAAGCAGTTCCTGGCACACAGTAAGCACTAAACAGATGTTCCTTGTGATTACAACACCCTAGGACTATAGGTATTACTGTCAATGCACAGAAAATGACCTGAAAAGTCAGCAGCAAACTTAGGAGTGGTTACTTGACACAAAGGGAGAGGGTACTTAAGGGGGCTTTTCAAATAATGGCTGAATTCTTACAGGAATCTATTAATGTATTACTGGTGAGTAAAAATCGATTCCCGATAAAACTGGAAAGGTTTTCAGGATGTCGAAGGCACTCAAGAGCTCCTAACTTCCATGCAACAGAACAGGCAGTAGAGAGAGGGAGCCGGAGCGGTGTAGCTAGGTCCCTGCCGCTGAAGCAGCGCTGGATGCCAACACTCGAATCTTTCCTTCCCAGCCCCGCACCGGCCCCCCCATTTCACCTTCCAGGCTGGCATCCCATGGTACTGCAGCTCTCCGTCCCTGATGAAGTTGTAGAGAGGTGAATCAGGGACAGAATTCAGGTCCCCACACAAGATGATGGGGCAGTGGCTGCCATCAGACAGCCTGGCCACCTTGTCCACTTCAGCCAGCAGAATTGCCATCTGGGCCAACTTGACATCACCCCGGCGTGGGTTGTACAAGACGTGGGTATTTGCCACACATAGGGGGGCCACTGAGACTTGCCCCAGGCCTTCTGGGACAAGCGGCTGCAGCAACAACACTAAGCCCACGTTGTCCCGATTGAGGAGCTCCAAGCCAGGCCGGAAGTACTCGACAGGGCTGGCACAGAGCAGACGGAATCTGGTGGGCTTGTAGCAGACAGCACAGCCATCCGTTTTACACCCAGTCCTCCTCTTGTAGAAACAGGTAAAGCCTGCAAGGAAAACCCCAGCCAAGGAGTAAGGTCCCTGAAGCCTGAATCCCCTCCAACCAGTGGCAATAGCCCAGGTATGTGTGCTAAGGCACTGCACCTGCTCAGTAAGGGGGTCCTTGCCCTGGTCATGTCCTTGGTTCTGCTGAGGTTCCCTTACAGTAACCAGATGGCCGAGTGGGGGCAAGGAGGCAGGAAAGAGCATGAGGCAGCACATGTGACAGGAAGAACATTGACAGATGGCAGTTCTGGACCTACTGCAGTGACCTGGAGCAAGTCACACAAATTCTCAGAACCCGTTTCCTTATTTGTAAAATGGAGATAATACTCCTCAGCCTCAAAGGATTGGTTACCTCATGGATGAAATGGCAATATATGTCAGAGGTGCTTTAAAAGCTGCAGAACTCTACTTTCTTTCTCACCCACCAGAGGAAGGCGTGAGCTCACAAGTAAGACAGTTTACTGAGACCAAAGAAAATATGGTGTCTTCCAGAGAAGAGTAGACAAGGCTGGAGGCAGAAAGGCTGGCAAGCTTGCCAGGAACTTCATTACCCATCATTCTCAGAGAGGGCTCCAGCTGCTCCCAGTAATGATCTTCTTGGACTTCCTGGAGACACAGGATCTGGAAAAAATGGCAAGGAAACCAATCACTCCAACATATCCAGAGCACCCAGTATGCTGGAGTGTGACTCCCACCCCCTGGAGACAGGCTTGAGTGCCAGGAGGGACGCTGATATGCCCACAGGGCTGACTCTTCCTAGAGTGCCACTAAGAGCAAGAACTAGCCCAAACTCAGGCGGACGAGATCAGATGTGTGCCTTTCTCAAACCACTCAAGTCTTGCTCCTTGCATAAAGATACAGGAGGGTGAGCACCTCGGGAGATGCTTCGCAGCATCTGCCAAAAACTCACTTATTCCAGGCAGGAAAGTTCGGACCTCTATTCATGGGATTCGATTCACCTCACCGACTCTGGGCTGTGCTCACTGGCTAAGAGCACTGTGGAGACCACCCAGGTACAGAGACACCCACTCACATCAGGGTCCCAGTGCTGGAATTCCTGCATGAGGTTTGCCAGACGATAGTTCCAGTTGAGGATGTCCGGGTGGCAGTGTAGATAGAGCTCGGAGCCCTGCAGCATCAGGTCCTGGGCCAGGATGTTGTAGGACATGAGAGTGAACTGGAACTGGGGACCGTCTCTTGCCTCCAGGCCCTGAACATCTGGCTGGGTAGACAAATCCTCCCATTCTCGCCACAAGATTTCTGCAAAGGGTTGAGTGGAAGACTTCCATGACAGATACATGTTATCTCGAAGCCCTGCCATCTCCACTCCTAATCCTGGCATTCCGTGTCTAAAGATGCATTTTTGCACCTTCCCTGTCACCCGTCCATCCCTGTGCTGATCTAAGCATCACTCTGATAGCATTCTAGACAGCAGATTCTGCAAAGCAAGGTCACCACTGTACCCTCAGCACCTGGCACCTAGCTGATACTCCAGAAATACTTACAGGCTGATCATCTCTCAATCTGTTACATCCACGGGTCTCAGGGCATGGTTAAAGACATGTTTAGAGTAACTCAGCCTTAGTGTTTTCTGACCTCTAAACCTTAAAAGGAGTCCTGGTGTGGCGCTGTGAGTTAATGCACCAGACTGCAAAGCCATTTGAACTGCAAGGTTAGCAGTTCAAGCTCACCAGCTGCTCCTCGGAAACCCTATACAAGATCATTGTGCGTCAGAACTGACTTAACAGCACTTTACAATAACAACAAAAAAAAAACCTTGAAAGACTTCTGGGACTAGAGACCCAATGTGTCCCAGGCTCTGTATCACCCCTATAGCATGGGGCAGCATAGTGGATTTCAAATCTACTTGAACCACAGTACTCTTTCTTCAGATTCCATCCTATGTGGAAGCCCAATGTGTTAACACAGGTAAAACTGGAGCTATTCTGGTGGAAGCCCAGACACCTGCCAGCTTGAATCTCCCCACCCCCACCTCAGGAAGTATTTAGACTCCCACCAGAGAAACAGTAGCGTGGAGAACCCGAACTGAGGCCTGCGTTCAGCTCTGCTACCATCCAGCTGTATGACTGTAACCATGTCCTACTACCTCTCTGTACCAGGCTTACTTTATTTCTAAGACCAGTGGGCTGGATGAGATGACCACTAAAGCCTTCTGGATCTGACACTGCAAAATTCTCGAGATTCTCAGAAAAAGGGTGCAGCAACAGAGCTCCCCACCAGACCATCTCTTCAGCAATGGTTCTGCCCCTACACAAGACAGTGTGCTGCCCCTGCTGGCTTACTGAGCTGGTCGCCAGACTCACCATGATAGGGTATTTCCACTGAGGGAGGCTGCAACTGCCCCAGATCCCCAAAGGGCCAGATGGGAGTTTCTGCCTGGGGCATAGGCTCCGGTGCTATGCTCCAAGCCACCACTGCGGGGTCCTCTTCCCACTGCTCTGTGGCCAGGGCACTCATTGGGAGAACAGCACAATCTGCATAGTGGGGGTCCATCTGCATGGGAACAGCTGCCCACATGGGGCCCTCGACCTCTGGCAGCGTCTCCTCTTCTAGCAACTCTGGGAAAGACTCGCTCAGGTTCTCTTCTGCCCGCAGGTCACTCAGCTGCCTGTTGGACCACTTGTCCTCGGAAGTAGCATCCTGTTCTCCAGGATTATCCATCAAGAGTGCCAGGCTGCTCTGCGCCAGTCCTTTGTCAGCCAGGGGACCTTCACTCGCAGTTGAGAATGCCTGATTTGAACCTTCTTCTCGCCACTGCTGCAGCAGGCCCTCACACTCCTCCTGGTCAGGGTCCCGAGGGGCCATGGCAAAGTCACCCTCTACCTGGGGGGACAAGCCCTTGGCCAGGGCGTTCTTTCGACACGTAAAGAGAGCATCTGAAAGGAAGGTCAAAATGCAAGGCTGTAGGCTGACAGTGTCCCCGAGCCTGCCCACCCTCTTCTGCCTTGACCGGAAGCTCCATGTGAACAAGAAGCACCTTGCTGTGTCATCACTGAGCATTGCTACCTTAGCGCCCGGAACAACAGAGGCAGCAGAGGAACGTACTTACCAGGAGCCAGGCACTGTTCTGAGTGCTTTCCAGTACTAACTCAGTGAAATGGCAGGACCTGATAAATACTCAGAAAATGAAGGCAAGACTGGCTAGTCTACAGTGACTAGAAAAGACATGGGCTCAGATACCCAAACCCTCTTTTGGAGGTTAGGACTCCTGCAAATACCAATTTTCTGATTCTAAGAACCACAGTTACATTGGAACTAGCACTTGACTATGGATCAGAACTGTGGGCAAGGCTCTAGCATGGAAATAAAAAAGACACGACCTTGGGCAATGCCCTTCATCAGAGGAACTCTTCCTGACTGTAAAATGGGAATCGGAAGAATCTGTACTACACTGTCTCCAAGACTTTCTCTAATTCTATGACAGCCCTAATCTATGAATGTATTCAGAAAGAAAACATTCCTGAAGTAAACAAAAAGAGTGTCACAAGATCTGTACAGTTTACTGCATAGCTAAGGCTCTTGAGCAGCTGCAGGAATATATATTACTCTAAAGAATCTTCACAAACTTCATTATCGACTTTCCCATTCCACTACACATCAGAGGCTGCACGTCAGAAAGTGCCAACAATTGACAGCAAGAAGAGACAGCTGTCATCTCTGTTCCAGCAGCCACAAACAACAGCCAACAGGCAAGAAGGCAGGCGGTAAAAACTAAAATTAGAGCCCCCAAACTCACAGCATAGTATTTTGGTGAGCACAATCAACCCACATCTACTGAATCACATATTTGCAGCACAGTACAAATGAGATAAACAATGCAGACTCTCAGTCAGTAAAGAGGTTCATTTTATCGCCCTTTTTTTTGTTGTTGTTTTTAAAGCAAGAAGCATTTCTAAATGGTTCAGATGTCAATATACTGTCTACAGTCTATGTGAATTTATGTCCCTCTGATTTGTGTCCAGTGACCATTAATCAGGGGTGATTTTGCTCCCAGGGGACACTTGGCAATACCTAGAGCCATTGTGTCATGGTCATCACAACTGTGGGAGTGCTGCTATTGGCTGGGCTTGAGTTCTAGGGACTTGCTACTTCTCTGCCTCTTGAAACATCCTCTAATGAATGAATGCCAGATGTCAAAAGTTCTTTGACTTATAAGCACAAGATTACAGGTTTTCAAACTCATCACTTTTTATTTATTGGTACTGGTTTGTTTTTCAGCAGCAAAACCCATATATATGTTGTTAAGTACTACTGAGTTAATTCCAACTCACAGAGACCCTGTATAGGGTTTCTGAGGAGGGGTTAGTAAGTTTGAACTGTCAATTTTGCAGTTAACAGTCAGTGCTTATACTACAGTGCCATGCCAGGACTCACATTCTCTACATAATATCTAACTAGCTAGCTAGCTATACAGAAAGAGAGAGGTGGGATCAGAGAGGTGGACATCAAATTGATTACATCTTCAAGAAGAGATGGTAGAAAAGTTCATTATTATCATCAAAACAAGGCCAGGGGCAGACTGTGATCAAATTCAAGTTCAGGCTGAAGGTGAAAGAGATTAAAACAAGTCCACAGGAGCCAAAATATGACCTTGAGCAGATCCCACCTAACATTTAGAGACTATGTTAAAAACAGATTTGATGCATTAGACACTAATGACCAAAGACCAGAAGAGTTGGGAGATGACATCAAGAACATCATAAAGGAAGAAAGCAAAAGGTCATTAAAAAGACAGGAAAGAAAGAAAAGACCAAGATGGGTATGAGAAGAGGCTATGAAACTTGCTCTCCAGCACAGAGATGCTAAAACCAATAGAAGAAATGAAGACGTACAAGAGCAGGACAAAAATTTTCAAAGGGCAGCTCAAGAAAACAAATTCAAGTTTTATAGTGAAATGTGTAAAAACCTTGAGTTAGAAAACCAAAAGGCAAGAATATGATCTGCAGTTCTCAAGAAAGTACTGAAAAAAATAATAAAGCTTCGACTTGCGGTAGTGAAGAATTCTATAGGCAAAATACTGAAAGGTGCAAAAAGCATCAAGAGAAGATGGAAGAAATACAAAGTCACTGTGCCAGAAAGAAATGGTCAAGGTTCAACAATTTCAAGGGGTAACATGTGGAGGAGGGCGGGCTTGATGCAGGACTAGGCAGACAGGCTGTGCAGACCCTCTTCAGCAAAAACATGGAAAACCAGGCAAAACAGATTCAGAGGGTAATCCCAGAACTCTGAACTTCAGATAGAAGGATTAATAAGTAGACCGAGTGCTTACCAGGAGAAAGATTTGGAACACAAGCAAGAAAAAAGGTTACTTCTGATTTGGAGCGACCAATATGTCCTGCCACAGCCATTTTGAATGGGAGTATACAGACATGGAGGGACAAGAAGCCACTCCCATTACAGAAACCTTCTAGCAGTTTGCAGAGACATAGGTGTGTATGAATGGGGGAGTCTGTAGCATGAGGATCAAAGGGAGAGGAGAAAACATTAAGAGCCTGTGCCTGGGGTCTCTTCTAAACCAGGTCTGGCCAGCCCTGGGCTGGTTCTCACCAGGAGGAAAAGCTGAACAGACTTGAGGAGGGGAAACTACAAAAAAACTTGTGTAGAGAGGCACAGTGGGAACACTGTGAAATTTCTCAGGTGGCTTTGAAAGTAAAAGTCCATTAGGTGGCAACAGAAAATTAATAATAAAATCATAAAAACATGGAAAATATGAGTAATTGTTTATAATATTATTATGTTTGTTAATTTTTTTCCTTTCCTTTTCTCCTTTTTCCAGTTCTATTGTACCTCTCTATAATTCCCCACCCCCCCGAGTTTTCATGACTTTCATTTTTAGTCTTGTTCTTTGATCCACCTTCTATCTTGTGGTAACTCTTTCCTTTCTTGCCTCACCTGAAAGGAGACAGCAACTACAGCTATACAGGCAAGCTACAATTGCACCCTCTAAGACCCCCAATGAGATGGATTGGCCAGGTGGTGGCATCGATGGACTCAAGCATGGCAACAGTAGTGAGGCTGGCCCAGGACTGGGCAGTGTTTCATTCAGTCTGCTATACAAAGGGTCGCTATGAGTTGGTGCCAACTCGATGGCACCTAACAACAAAGCCCCACAAACTAGGCAAGAGCCAATACCAGCTGCTATACACCAGAGCAGCATCTACAATCAACACCTACTAAAAACACTCTGAAATGAATTGTATGAGCAGCCAAGAGAGAAGCCCATTTCCTGATCACACCTACCAGGAGGCAGTTGGCGAGTGCCTAAGAATACACCAACATGCATTCATATAATTAAGACAAATATAACACAATGCCTAAAAGGCAGCAGAAAATGTCTGCTCATGTGCAGAAACAAGACAAAGGAGCTCAAACAAATGACCAAGAGGAAGAGCAAGAAATTTCTTTGGAGGGAGAAGAGGCTTTGGAATTACCTGAAAAAAAGTTCAGGAGAATGACATTGAAGTGCATCCAAATGTTACAAAAAATTGAGGAAAATAAGGTAAAAGTCAGGAAAGCACTACAGGAACAATCAAACAAAATAGATATAGCATTGGAGACAATACAAAACCTGCAAAAAGAGGTCCAGATGATGGAAACTAAAACATCAGAAAAAGACAAAACACTGAAAGAGCAAAGGAGCAGAACTGAAGAGATAGAAGCCAAAATCAGCAAGTCTGAAAACAAATCTCTCAATGCTGCTAAGATAGAAGAACAAGCAGAAAAAAGAAAGAAAAAATCTGAAGAAAGCCTAAGATTCATATGAGACAACATGAAGAGGAATAACCTATAGGTGCTTGGAATTAAAGAACAGGAAGAGACAAAGAAAACCACAGGAAAGATAGTCGAAGAGCTGTTGGAAGAAAATGTCTCTAACATCATAAAGAATGAGAAGTATTCAAGAAGCTGAATGAACCCCAGGCAGGATAGACCCCAAAAGAAAATCACCAAAACATAGCATAATCAAACTCTCCAAAATCAAAGACAAGAAAAGAATCCTAAAAGCAGCTATGGAAAAAAGAAATGTTACCTGCAAAGGCAAGCCATTAAGATTAAACAGAAACCACACAGGCAAGAAAGCAATGGTGAAACATATACAAAATTCTGAAAGAAAAAACAAAACTGCCAACCAAGAATCATATACCAGGAGAGAACAAACAAGATAGCAGAGAGGGTGGATGTGCAGTGAAGAGCTCCGTCAGCAACAACACAGAATACCAGACCAAGCAGGCTCAGGGGATGGTGCCAGAACTCTGAACCACATATAAAGGAATACTTAGAAGGTTGGATGGCTTACAGCTAGGGGAATTTGTAGCAGTAGCAAGAAATCCATTGCTTTATAATTCAAGATGCTCAGCTGCTCCCAGAGCAGCCATCTTGGGCAAGACCAAGCAGGGGAAGGATCCGAGCAGCCACAATGCCTGACAGAACCGCGGAGATAAACGTGTGGACAATCTTTTTTTTTTTGGTATCTGTTCATTGGTCTCTCACTGTCTGTACACCTTCATTCTGACAACTAGAAGGAGCACCTGAGTGAGTGGACACCCCACCCCCACCCCCAGAGAGTTCTACTATGCATACACACAGACTTCCTCAAAATTTAAAAAGACTGTTTCCACTTAAAACCAAACGGCCACAGTCGGCCCTGAACTGTTTATAACTAGAAAAAAAAAGCCTGAATGGGGATTGTGGAGCAGGATAGGCAGACTTTAAAAAGGAAATAGGCCAAAAATTAAATCCTGAGTTACGACACAACGACCAACACTGGCATCTTGAAATTTCTCAGGAAGAAGAGTGAAAAGGGAGGCCCATCTCCTGACTACATCTACCTGGAGGCAATCAGAAAGCATAAAAAATACCAAAATACACACCCATCTAAGTATTAAGGCCACAGATAACTCCTGAATATTCCCAAAAAACAGAAGCAGATGACCATTATCAGTACATGTCCAGAAATGAGATAATGTGACTGAGGCAAATGAGCTGGACCTTCACTCCATATT